AAATCATAATTTTCAGCATTTAGTGAAATTATTTTAATGTGACATTCAATAAAATTATTTGAGGTGATATATAGTTATATCCCCATAGATTTTCTTGAAAAAGGCACATTAAAAGGTAGTCAGTAGCCGAAAACAAAACTAGTGAATTTAACATAACGTACGTTAAATGCAAAAAGGTTTTATCTGCTAAAAAACAGTAACGGCGGTACAGGGTGTCTCAAACTCGATAGTATGGGACACGTGGTGTTAAATGGGATGAGGTGAGCTCCATTTTTAATCGAAAGTATTATCTTTGGGATCTGACAGAAACGACTAATGACGTCATCAATTTTATCTTTTCCAGAAACATACCCAATTTTTTTTCTGTTAAAAAGCTCTCTTTTTTCTAATAAACTTTTATTAGAGAAATTTTTCTGTGTTAATGAATTACTGAAATTTTATTAAGTAGTAGATTGGCAAAAGGAAGAGACGATAGCAGATTCAATGACCAGCATTGCCTACTATTCGTGTATTTATGAAACTATGGAAATAGGTAGAGAAAAAGCAGTTGTAAAGAAAAGGTCTAATAAAGATGATGAAATCACATTTGTAGTACCATTTGTTAAATACTGCAGGTGTGCTGAAAAAAAAACAACAATCGAAAAAAGGAATAGTGATCACAGAGGGCAAATAGATCTTGTGGATCTACAATCAACTCCAGATGGCGAAGTTAAATGGTTGATGATCTACCAGGTTTCTACACTTAAGTACACCAGGAAAATTAGCGAAAATAAAAGAGAAAATCGAAAAAAGTCATATCCGCTAGATTATTGTAAAATTGTCTAAAGGAACATAATACAAGACATCTCTCGTCTCGTGAGTCAAAAACTTTTATTAGCTAACTTTTCTATTTAAACAAATAAGTGAGAAAAACAGTTTTTTCACTTTGCATGGAAACCCATCAATTTTAGCGAAAAGTGACTCTCAGACAGCTTATAGGGAGTAAAATTATCTACAAAATGAGACTAGTTAAATTAAAATCGGTTAATAAACAAAAAAGTTATTGCAAAAAAACAAGAAAAGTGCCCACTTTTTCATTTGTTTATAACTATCGATTTATTGTTAAAATTTTATAAAACCTATGACAAGTTGAGGGTTTTGTCATACTTTAAAAGTGTGCCAAAAGTGGGCGCTGTAGGTGCAATAGTTTTCGCACAATTCTATTTGTTTATAGCGGAGGCTCCAAAAGTTATGAACTTTAAGCCTCTGTGCAGGCGGCGTTAATTTTCAATCAAACATGATTCTGAAAGCGTCATTGTAATCTTAAAGACGCAATTAAGCGGCCTATTAATAAATATCACCGTTTTTTTGACATTAACATTCTCAAATTGTGCATTAAAAAACCGTTCGTTTTTCGCTTATAAACAATTTGAATAACATTGTTGCTATTTATGCTATCTCACCGAAAATAGATGCAATGGATAGCTGGCAAAAAAATACAGTTTTAAAAAGCAGTAATTTGCGACCAGTCGCAGTCGCTAGTCGCGGCCGCCAGACGCACCACCGAAACCGCACCTTGAGGCGTTGCAGCCGCGAACGCTGGCGATCGAGTCGCAACGTCGGCGACTCGACTGCCTATGTGACCAGTCTAGCCGCAGTCGCAGTGGAGAAATGGCGCGTTTTTCTGCACATGAAGATGAAATATTAGTTGAAGAACTTCCAAAATGTCTCTCTCTTTTTAATTATGAAGTACTCCCCAAACAAAATTAAACTGTTTAGGATTTAATCCACGAAAAAATCCCTAAACTTTATTTCATCTTCTTTTAAATGAGCATTAATAAGGAGATTGAAATATCCTTCCCTCTTACGTTGTTTGTATATATTATGGGCGTCACACCTCTTGTGCAATAACGTTTGTTTTAACAACTGTTCTTCATAATTTTCTTAGATTAAATATATAAGATCTTTCTCATTCATTTTCCCTATTTAAAACAAATAAATAAAACAATGAGAACCTATTATATTAACCACCAGACGTAGACTAACAAATGAGTCGCGCTTTTCTAGACGCTCCACTGTAAACACCCACCTCGCGCGACTAGCAGCTGCGCTCAGTCGCAGTCGCGAGCCGCAACCGCCAGACGCACCACCGAAACCGCACTTTAACATGTGAGTCGCGCTTTTCTAGACGCTCCGCTGTAAACACCGCGCGACTAGCAGCTACGCTCAGTCGCAGTCGCGAGCCGCAGCCGCCAAACGCACCACCGAAACCGCACCTTCACCATTATTAATGCCGGCCCTGGTTTTGAAGTTTTGGGGTTTTAGAGTTATTCAGCTTCGGGGTTTTGAGGTTTCAGATTGAGGCCTTGTCGTGTTTTCAAGTTATGGGGTTTCGGGGTTTTAGGTTAAAAGGGTTTAGGTTATGTATTTTTACGGTTGCGAGTTATCAATTTACGGCTTGTCGAGCCCGTTCGGGATCATAAGGATGTGGAGTTATAAGGTTTTAACAGGTTGCAGGGTTGATTTAGTTGAATTCTACCATTTTCAGCTATTTTTTGAGGTTAGAAAAAAACTCTGACGTGATGGGACCAAATGAGTTGCAGATTCGGTTTCAGCGACCCAAAAAACATATAATACGATAAGTTTGGCCGAGAAGACCTTTCGTCGATTCTTTTTGTGGTCCTGTGTAATTTGTTCTAACAATCTCACAATGAAACGTACGATATTGCCTTGTTTTTTGACAGGGGATAGATATATTAATTTTACCCAGTCATACATCATCTTTTGTAATGTTGTTTACAAGTTTATATTACAGTATTTGTTGAAAGGAGCGCCTATTATGTAAAGTTAATAAATTGTTATTAATTAAATTTTGATGATAATTATGACCTCTGCTATACTGCCCAGTAGTTATATATGTTGCATGTTTAATAAATCTTTTTTGTACATTTTCAATTAACTGAATATATTTGGCATAATATGGGTTTCATACCACTGAGCAGTATTCCAGCTTTGACCTGACATAGCAATTGAAGAGCGATATTAAAGTTTTCATCGACGTGAAATTTTGCGAGTTTTTCATGATAAAACCTAAATTTTTTACTGCCTGATTAACAATACTAATAACATGTTTATTGAAGGATAATTTCGAATCAAATAGTACACCTAGATCCCTTGCCTCCTCAACCGCCTGCAGATGAACACCATCTATGCTGTACAAAAAGTTAATAGGATTCTTTTGCAATGTGTATGCCATTTACTTATATTTGTTTATGTTAAAGAATAATTTATTTCTTACTGACCAGTTAAAAACATTATTTAAATCTTCTTGCAACTGTATACAATCTGTTAAATTTTCTACTTCTTTAAATATTTTCAAGTCATCAGCAAACAATAATGTAGAACTCTTATGCACAACACTAGCTAAATCATCCACAAACAGTAAGAACAGCAACGATCCCAAGTTAGAATCTTGCGAGACTCTTGAGATGGCAATGTATGAATCAGATCTAAAATTGTTAATAGAAACATATTGTTTTCTGTTTACCAAATATGTCATCAGAAATAATAATAAGTTTTCAGAGAAAGAGTACATTCTTAACTTCTGGAGCAATACTCGATGATCAACTTTATCAAATGCCTTCGCAAAATCTGTATAAACAACATCAAGTTGATATTTATTAGTATAGGCATTAACTACATTATCTACAAAAACAATTAAGTTACCACAGGTCGATCTACCAGGTTGAAAACCATACTGTGAGAGTGAAATATTGTTTCTAACCTTATCATAAATGTAAGCAAATATTATTGTTTCTAGTACCTTAGAGATATTTGACAAAATTGCTATTAGTCTATAGTTACGTATATTATTGTTCTTATCTGATTTGTATATAGGTATAATTTTAGTAACTTTTAAAGAGTCAGGAAATGTTTTTGAATTTAGAGCTAAGTTGAATAACATTTTAAAAGGATAAATTAATATATCTTTACATTCCGTAATAACATAATATGGTATACAATCATGCCCCGTTGTTTTTTTTTGTTTGTTTTAATTTATCAATTGCTTTTATTATATCTTGTTCAGAAACAAATCCTATATTTACAAAACTATTGTTATTAAAATGAATTTCTGATGGTATATCTAACTGCGTTTCAATTTTATTTTCCTTTTCATACACCGACTGAAAGTTATCAGCAAATGCCTGGGTAATTGATTGTCCATCTGATACTATTGCTCCATCTAAATGCATTTCTAATAGTAAGCTTGTGCCAGTTGTGCTGCTGTTCCTCTTAGATTTTACATAATGCCAAAATTTACACGGATCCTGTTGTATATCACGTTCTAAACTCATAATATAGTCACTGTAAGATCGTTTTATATCCCTCTTAACTTTAGCTCTGAGAAATTTATAGTCAACTAAACATTGTTGAATTTTTGTTTTTTTCACCATTCTTCCCCAAACCGGATTGTATCATATTCTTCTTTAATGGTCATATGACCTTCACCGTTCGTTAGAGATATATTTATTGTGCAATTTAATCCTGAAAAGATATATTTAAATATGATATAATATACAAGGTATTTCAATTAAAAAATATAATTTTAATAAATATCTTAAAAAGTCAATTTTCGATAATTTTTCCTTTGGTGTATGTTACTATAGTGGTAGTGCACTTGCACACCACTTTTGTAATTTAATCGATTTTGTGTTTCTAGGAGTAACAGAGTAATATAGTGCTAAGTGAATTTGAAATACCTTGTATATGTGTGTGAGATTGTACCTATAACTAAGTATAAAATATACGATTTTTTATTACGGTTACTGTGGCTGCATATTAGCATAAGACCTAATTTTCCTCATTAATTTCATTTAAATTGAATAACTATTATTTTCATTTCAGTCACGTTTAGTCCTAATTCCTCGTTTGGTTTCTATTTCCGTTAATGAATGTATAAAACTCATTCAGTGTTTTTTATATTGTCATTCGTGTTTCGCTTTTATTAAATAATAGCTGCGATGGGCCCAGTATCGTTTATTCTAGCTGCTATTATTTCCAGTGCGTATGCAGAATTTTCAGCGGTAGATGTTGTTCAAGATATTTATCATTCTTGCATTAGTAGTTTCTCGGTCCATTGTGTAAAACCTAAAGCTTTGCAATGGTTAGGTTCTGTTTCCGATAATGAAAAAATAAAAATTACAGAAGACTTACTTATTGTGAAGAATAAGAATAGTGGTAAAGAGGTGTGTGTTGTGTATAAATATTTTAAATTTATTCGGAGAAAAACTAAAATTGCTTTAATTTCAAGGTGAAGCGGGACTTCTCACAGGAGGATATTTTTGACAACTTTGAAAATTTCTTGCAAAATCACGATTTAGTGGCTAAAGCTCCATTAATCCTCAGCCCATCGGGACCGTTAGGAGCATTAGTACCGAGATCATTTCAACCTGAAGATATCAGAGTTCCATTAGCTGCCACAGGTAAAGTTTATGAATCAACAGTATTAATATATTAATGAAAGTATTACAACTTATTATATTTTAGGTCGATCATCAAAACTAGTCAAAAAAGTGATCGTTCCATTTTTATTGGGTCTGAAATTTAAGACAGCTATCCTAGTACCCCTTGCATTAGCATTAATTGCTTTAAAAACCTGGAAAGCTCTAACCTTGGGATTATTGTCTTTGGTTCTCACAGGAGCACTACTCATTTTCAGACTCGCCAAACCTAAGGTACATGGATATTTATTTTATTGAAAATGATTTTAATATTACATTTCTTAATACTAGGTTGTCAATTATGAGGTAATTCATTACCCTCAACAAATTGAGCATCATGTGGAACATCCTCCAACGACTGGATGGGAGCATCCGGGCTATGGACGTCTCTTAACCGGAAATGAAATGGCTTACAATAATTACTTGAATTAATTTGAGTAATGATGACTTTTTTGTTACTTATTTATTTAAATTATTAAATACATTCGTTACTGTTATACATGACTAGTCTGTCTATCCTTCTTTATTTATTTTTCTTTTATATTTACATTAACATATCCAAAAACCAGGTGCGTGCGTGTAGGCGATTATTTTAAAAAATAATAGTAGGTACACGTCACTGCATATTTTTAATGTTATGATTTTTTTGTAATCTTCATTACCTACATAAAATGTTTCTTAGCAATTGAAATCTAGTTTTGGAGAAAAATGCTATTTTATTAATTTATTGATCATGGGTTATTATATTATTTTTAACAAAATGACATTTTTCTCCAGAACTAAAACTTCAAAAAGTGCTAACGACGTATTTTGTCAGGTAGGTAATGAACGACGATTACAAAAAATATTCATAAAATTGAAAATGCATATTAGATTTTAAAATATGTAATTGGATACTATGATCTACACTGGCGCCCTGGTGAGGTGATTAAATTTTAGATTACACTAAAATATTCTCTGTAATGAGCAGTCTAGATAATTATCTAAAGTTGAAGAAAATGAAAACATTTCATTATTGAGATATAAAAAAAACGAAACAATGTTAAACTTCAATGCCCTATATTATGGGAAGGAGACATATTTGGGCATATTATGTTGATAGGAACTTTTTTTATATAAACTAATGCATAGAATAACTCTTGAATATTGTTTTTAAAGTAACTGCGTAAAACATTATCAGAGAACTTAAATCAGACAATTACAATAAATAGAAAAAATATACATAATTTCAAAGATGAAGTACCTACTTTTTTGTTCGTGAACCTATACAATTTGTTTACTCATGAAAAAAAAAACGTTTTTACATCTTTTGTTGTGAAATATAGGTACTACTTTCTGTCATTTCATATCGCGTGCCGATAAAACTTTTTTCCCAAATAACTATTTTAACATCATCAAAAAATATGTACCTATGTATAGGTATACATTTTCGCCAATAACGTAGGTAGGTACCTATATAACTGCGGAGAAATCTCTTCAATATATTTACAAAAAAATTTACTTCGCCAATTGTTTTTGCTTGCAAAATACCGTCAAATAATGTACACGTAAGCATTTACGTGAATTTTGTTTGTAAAATTTGACATTTCTTTTAAATATTGAAAACCACGTTATTCCTCAAAATTTGGAAAAGCATATTATTTATTTTTTAGTTTTATGGCCACGTCACACCACAAATGTTCCTAAATTTTGTACTAAATATTAATTTAAATACAGGGTGAGTCATTAATAATGGTACACAGCTTAATGGCAGATTGTTAACGTCAAAATATAGCGATTGAGCCAAACATGCCTTAATCAATTGTTGCTCATTTTCGTTCTACAGGGTGTTAAAGTTGAAAAGATATTTTCTTTTTTTATCTATATTTTAAGTATGTATAGATCGATTGTTATGAAAATTTGTAATTTTACGTTTTTTGAGGTGGCAAATACGAATATGCAAATAGTGTTGGGGTCACGTCTAGAGGGCGCTATTTGTACTGTCCTGTCAATGTAAAAATATGTCTAACTTTTTATATTTTCCAATTTTGAATTTTTTAAGTAGAAATTGTTGAACTATGTCCAATTCTAAATAAAAAATGTATACTTTTTACAAATCGATAAACTCAACTGTTTTCGAGATCCAGACATTTTAAGTTTTTAAGATTCGACGGGAATTAAATTAGAAAATTATTTTTTCCAAAGTAGTAGGCATGGACATAATAAATTGACAGTTTTCACTACAATACCATATTGTTTTCTACTGAATTTGATTAAGAAGTAATTTTTTCCTTGTCGTTATTTTTTAGAGAAGAGAATATCTTAATAAAAGGCTAAGAAAGTGCATTGAAGTTGCTGGTAGTTAATAATTTGTTAAGATATGCATAATAAAATCTTTAATTGCTGTAATGTTTGTCTTAATTCTTAATTCAGGCTTGGTATCTTAAGACCTGCTAATTTTCTAATTTAATTCCCGCCGAATCTCAAAAACTTGAAACGTCTGTATCTCGAAAACGGTTTAGTTTATCGATTTGTAACTAGTACACCTTTTTTATTTAGAATTGAACGTAGTTCAATAATTTGTAATTAAAAAATTCTAAATTGTAAAATAAAAAAGTTAGACAGATTTTTACATTGATAGGACAGTATAACTAGCGCCCTCTAGACGTGACCCCAACACTGTTTGCATATTCGTATTTGCCTCCTCAAAAAACGTAAAACTACAAATTTTCAAAACAATCGGTCCATACATACTTAAAATATAGATAAAAAAGGAAAATATTTTTTCAACGTTAACACCCTGTAGAACGAAACAGAGCAATAATTGATTAAGGCATGTTTGGCTTAATCACTAGTTTTGATGGTAACAATATGCCATTAAGCTGTGTACGATTATTAATGACTCACTCTGTATATTCTTTTTTAATAAAAATTAAAATGATTAGGTAACTCAAGTTCGTTAGTTGATTTATCTAACTTCAATAGTTTATTTCAAAATCTGCCTAATTTTTATTTTTTTTGTTAACATAACTCAAATTATATTAAAAAAATAGATGAGAGAGAAAACGTTAATCGTTAATTATTCTCCAATGTATATTTTAAAATAAAAAGAAATCTTAATCGAATAAAAATGATCAACAAGGAACAAACTAAAGCTTGATCTACTGTCGTATTGCTCAGGATGAGTGCTTGCGATTTTCACCCATGTTTAAAAAATTTTCGTCAATCTTTCAAGAAGATTCCTCGCGCAAGGTGCAGTTCCCACCAAGTAATAGGAATCCACAGACAAATAATCGCAGACGACCTGTTACACAAATTCGAGGACGCTGGGCGGAAAACACTTTTTCATTGATGAGCCAAGACGCTAAGATGCCATGATTGCCGCCAAAGTCCCCTGTTGTACCAAACAACATGCTCATCAACGCAGAGAAGTCACCAACAGCCCAAGACCACGCTAAAATTTTCACCATACTTTCGAAAAATGGCGTAAATTACGAAAACTGGAAAACTTCAAACTCGCACCTCAAAGCGACCTCAGCTTCAATAATAACCACAGTAATTTTCAGAATTCCGACCCCTCGGAGGCGATGTCAATCAACGAAAGCGCAGTTTTCAAAAATGCTAAATTTCTAGTACCAGACTGGACCACACACCAGGCCGCCATCTAGAGCCCACATCAACCGTATGCGGACGTCAGCCCAAGAACCCTGCGATCTAATTACCAACGTTAGGAACCCGGCTAATACATGTTGACGAACAAAATTTTCTTTTGCACTTCCATATGCAAATTGTTACATTTATTTATTATCAATATCTCACACTTTTTTCAAAATAATGAGTTACATTTCTCTAAAATAGCACCTCCAGCTCAATGCTTCTTCCACTTGCTCTTAAAGCAACCCACCCAGGTACCTCCTACCTGAGGTGAAGGCTCTCAAGTGGTTACAGATCCTAAAGCTGCCATACATAATAGAGCTCCTAAAGCCTTCTATACTGGCACTTTAAGGAGGCCCGTACACACATGCTCAGCACGCAAAAATATAGTGAAAACCAGAGACTAGAGTATCATACTCGACTGAGCTCCATAAAAGAAATTAGTACAAAAAATATAAACATACAAAACTTTCATAAACTCTTAAACTAAAGCCCAATGCAAGTGCCCAAATATTTAGGTGACGCCCGATTACCCTGGCAATTAACCACCCAGCACTGCAAGCAAAAACAAGAAACCTATAATGAGAGTCTACGACCCTTTAAAAATGCTAAGGGCTAATGTTGATAGGCCAATGCGACGGGCCAATCAAAACCCACGACGCTACACTGATCTGGCTGGTATCGGCTCGGACGGAAAACAAAGTTGTCAAAGAAATAAACCAAATAAACTTAGTTATGTAAACCTACACTGGAAAGGGTAGTATTGGCGATAGCGTGATAGTCGGTAGGGATATTTCCTTATTGGAACATTTGCTAGTCAGCTTTTCCTGGAATCTATTTGCGAATAAATAACTACAATCAACGAAATGAATACTAAACAATCTTCAATTTTATTCTACAAGTTCTACTAGTTTAGTTATCGGCATTCAGAAATTCTTCTTTGTATGAATGTATTGATTATAGGCCGATGCCTCTCTCAAAATTAAAACTCAAAACTCTATATTATTAAAATTGGTTAAACGTTTAGGTAATGATTTTAGATGTCCACTGGATGACTTCTGGTTAATTTGGAATTATCGATACTGTTCATTTTATAATAATGTGGATATATGACATGTATTCATTTGCAGTGTATGAACTTGTGAAGTTGTTACCCAGAGCAACCAGTCATAGGATGAAACTAAGTTTGGGAAGTTAGCTTATTCTAGATATAAATTAAAATATAAATTAAAATTTTTAAAATATGTTCTTTAATTAATAAAATGATTAACTGCTAGTGATTTTAAAATGTTATTATCTCCGTCTAAAACCATACAAATACTAAATGTAGAGGCAATAACCTGAGTAGCCAGAGTGAATAGTAAATGACTATTATTCTGATCACGACACACCTGGTATTCTAATATCTGACATTCCCAGATAACAGTCAGTGTGTTAATCAGTCGGTGTTTATTATTTAATCCCCCTAATAGAATGTTTTAGTACAGTATATTATAAAAACTATTGTTTATAATTATTGGGTACTTCTGTCATACTTATACTATCATACATATATATATCATACTATCGTCATAACGATAAAAAATTAAATGATTAACTGTTGCGAGAAGAGGAGTAGTCAATAAGATAACTATTTCACAATAAGAAAGTAGACAATTTTAATTGTTCCCGATTACACTATTAACACATGACAAATTGTTAACGTTTTTTAATAAAACGCTAAAATATCCCCTAAAATAGGGTTAAATAGTGACGATAAGGTAAAGCAACAATTTGTGAATAAAAAAAGGCGTAGGTGA